AAACAAATTCATTAAGTGATGATTTCAGTGTAATTAGTGTCAGTAGTAATCCATACTCTCAGAGCACACAATATTTTCTACCATTAATATTTTTTACCAAGTTACATTGGAATTGTTTTCAATGTATTGATAAAAATATTTTTTTAATCGTAAAAAAGTATAATTAATCACAAAATCAATATTTGTTTTATTATAATCGTTAATATAATAACAACACAACAGTAGTGAATGTATAGACTTTAGTATTGTTAGCAAATCCCACACTTTTATAAACTACCTGTGCACATTGTAATCGCACCTAACTATGGCTTAATTTAGACATGATTGTATTTATGATCCTAGTAAAGTTTAATAATTAAACATATTTATGAATGCAACAAATACACATTTTTATTAATGAATTAAAATATGAATTAACTTCTCATCTAAATACTGAACCAGTACAAAATAACAATTCTAAAACCTAAAGTGCATTTTAATAAGTTATATTTATTAAAATTGTTGCAAAAATTATTAAATAAGTATTATATGAAAATTCTGAAATTAAACTGCACATAATATATTACACTGTATTACTTGTATAGTAAAAATAACAAACAAATATCTTATTCAGTATTTGTTTTCACTTTTGTCAATGAATTTCGACATCAAAATCAATACGAAAATAAGTTTCAAAATAGTTTCGTCAGAATCTGTACTTAAAGCTAAAAAATAACTAATAGTTATCTGCATTATCTGAATGTCAGTCGATTATATCAAACACATGTAAAACATGACAAAAGTCAGGAACAGAGGACCTGACGGTGCGATTTGGTGACAACCGACCGCTCATTTCGCATCAAATATTCATTTATTGTTTACTATAATTAAACAAATATTTATTTGTTGATAATTTTTCAATACTCACGAAATAAACAATTCTTGTAAACAATCTATCAGTTAATATATTTTATATATGTTTTATCGCATGATTTTCAAACCAAAACTGTTAGTATCCGGTCATAAAAACATTATCAAATTATTACAAACAAATTCCCGTAATTATCAATACAATTTACTTAAGGGGTAAAAAGCAGTTTAAACTGATTGCAAAGTTATTGAAAATGTATTAGCCAATAGTTTTAATAATATTAATTAAAAGTTTTCATTTCATTTATAGGTATAATAATATTATTCCATTGAATTGATAGAAATGTTGATAAATATGAATATAATGAAAGCACAGCAATATTGTAATCAAATTAGATTTAAGGGATTATTGAAAACACGTAATCAAATTACTTATTTAGTGCATAAAATCTAAATATTGAATGCATTAACAGTATTAGTGTGAAAGCGAATAGATTTATGGCTTTGTTTTAAGTAACTTTATCTCAATTATTGACAACTTATTTGTGGGAAAGTTTTTGTGTGTTTGGAAAGTATACAAGAAATAGGAAATAGATTGGTAATTGTTTTATCAATATATGGAAATTAATTACAACCATGTCATTTTATGAACACTCGAAACGACTTAATTGATTAGACTTTTGGGTCTAAACCTAGGGCTAATAGAGTACATGTATAAACCTTATACAATAGTCTGGTGCCAGTGATCTAAAGGGTCTAAAGTTTTGTAACGTGTTATCCAAACGTGTTCTCCATTCGCGACAATATCTCTGAATATCTCTGCGATTGTGTTCACAGTTTTCAGACGACAAACATTTTTGGCTACAATTTGGCCTCAAATTGTGTCGAATGGAAGTCAATATAAGAACCAAAGATCTCTGTTAGGCGTCGAAGAAATTTATTATAGACTTATCCTCTATTGATAACAACTCCTGTCGTATACAACACTATTGATGTTCACATCAATTGCCTATAAAAGCCAACCCCTAAGAGAGCAATGATTTCATTATAGTTTGAATTCGCTTCCGATAACTTTGTGCAAAGTCTTAAGGTTTCCATTAAAACCAATTCAAGTATTATAGCATAATATATATATAATAGATATATATATATATAGTAACAAAGTTTTTCAACGCTAAAAATGAATGCTTTAATTGTTTTAATTGTCTTAAGTGTCTCTTATGAATGTAAGTTCAAGAATATTCACCACATTTGTGTCACATTTAACTAAACAAATGTTTTCGTTGAATAGGTTTTGGTTATGTGTTGCGGACGGGCGACGACAGGGAGAACCGTATCATTAATTTGAAAGATATCAACACAAAACTACACGAAACGCAAGTGATGNNAAGCGATCGACCAGTTGAACGATTCCGTACAGAATGTCGAGAAATGCGATCAGTGCTGGAGTTAGACATACCATCCCATCACTAGACCAGACCATCACTAGACAGACCATCACTAGACCAGACCATCACTTGTCATAGCCATCGGATTCCTTGTTATTATTGTAAATACTCATCGTTTTTGATGAATTCATAATTTATTTATAAAAAGTTCAAATTTTTTGTACATTTCTTTTTTGCTATTATTTTCTTGTTTCGATCGCTTCTATCATTCAATTCCTCAACATTTAATTTAATTATAATATTATTACAAAACTAATTTAAATAGAAATAAAACATATTTTCTAACTTAAAAGTAAGCCTTTATTAGTATTATTAAAAGTTTTAAATCGACTATAAATAAGTTGTTTACGAGATTGAAATTTAAAATCATTTCCCATTGGCAAGTGTAGCCAAATATTTGCACATATTTTTGAATCAATGTTACTTTTATTTACGTCAAGCAGTGCCTTAAAAACAGGAAATTTCTATCGAGAATATTCTCATTGTAAAGATGAAACTATCGATAATTCTGTCAATTCATACATTTTTGAACGTTTAGTACTTTTCCCATCCCATGAAAAACTAGAACAGAAACTCTAGACAAACAGAGAATTATAGATAAGGTATTGATTTTCCAAATCGTCTAATCATATGCCTTCCCAATGAATAATATCTCAATTGTTTTGCAACTAAAAGCCAGTATTTTGCGGAATATTTATGAGAAAACATAGATTTTGTATAAAACACAGATGTTATCTTATAGTTGTGACAAGAATTTAGATAAAATGTCGAGTGGATTTGTGTTCATTTTAATCTTTAATAAATGGTAATAATTAGAAAATTATGAAAATGTAGTGAACTTAAGTGTAATTAAGTGAATGTCATTTATTTTGGATTTAATTATAACATATGTACTGAAAATCTACTTAAATAGTATTTCTTTTAGATAACCTTTGCTAAAAAAATTTTTAGAATATGTACTCATTTTAAAAGTAATCTACCAGTATTATGATTCATAGTTTTATTATACTTGGTTAATTTTATACCTAAAAATAGTTATAAAAATTGATTTAAAGATACTTAAATGTATAGAACTTTTATAGTTTTTACATACAATATTTCTATACATTAATAACCTAATACTTAACAGTAATACTTAAAAGTTTTAAGTTAAGTTATAACTATACCTAACAAAACTAAGTTCTGTCATAACAATTTTTAAAATTAAAATTTATAAACAATTATAATTATAAATAAAACATTTAAAATATTAATTTTAATTTAATTGAATGATTGTATGAACATATATTCTATAAATAAAAATACATAAAATTTCTAAAATACATTATTATAATATATTCATTAATACTTAAATAAACTATTGCTTTAATAATGATAGTCTATAAGATTAATAAGTTATCATTTACTGTAGACTTCTTAATTAAATAATTTTTTATAAGACCGAGATACAAGCTTAATAAAGTAGTATAATATTTGAAATAACTTAAAATATTGAGTGATATAAAAAAAAGTAATCATAAGCCTGATTATGAATGTTAAGACAAATTTTACATGATATTACATGAGTTGTAAGT